TGAAGCTGAGATGGGAACAGGCAAAAGGTGGAAGTACTGGTGGCTGATGACCAACCTCAAGAAAAACCTGCTGAAGGAAACTGGACTCACTGAGCACCTACCTTACGTTGGGTGGGTACCGTGGTAGGTGCTTTCTTTGCTTTATTGGTTATGCAGGTATTATCTCCCTTTCATAGTGGAGGAAACAGGCCAAGATAAGGTGACTTTGCTTATTCATCAAATATACACACTTGGAATATAAAGACGATTAAAACACAGTCCTCTTCTTTGAGGACCACAGAATATTGTGGGTGAGAGATACAGAGGCAGACAAGGGCAGACATAAGCACGAGGTAGAGTGACACTACAAAGAGGTTCTCCAAGTCACAGAGTCAGTAAGTATCAGGGCCAGGATTCAATTCCTTGATTGTCTGGATCCAAACCTTAGCACCTGCCACTGCTCTAGCCACTCGGCAACAGTTGTTGACTTAGTTAGAGTCCAAGTTCTGAGGAAGGGCGGTAGGCCATGCTGCTGGCAGGGAATTTGTAATAACAAGAGGAGGACATTGGGAATTGGGATGGGACATGTTCAGGTGACCCAGCAGCAGCTCAGGTCCAGAAGAAGCGGTGACGGTGGCCTCAGGGTTACCAGGTCATGGAGGCCCTCCAAGGGCAGGACTGATTCCAGCACCTAGAAGTGGCCACTCCAGGGAGCCACTGGAGGCAAGAAACCAGGCTGGTTCTTAGAGAGGCAGATTGGGACCAGAGAAGCGGGGCGGGGGGACGATCTCAAAAATCAAGTTGGGATTGAGAGGAGAGGCCATATTGGGAGTGGCCATGGGGAAATGGGAAAGAAATCAGACAATTTGGGGGCTGGAAGGGAAACTTGACCAGTTTCCTTTTTGCTTCTGTTGAGTTCAATAGATCCTGACAGGATTGTCTGTCTTTTTGAAAACAACTCTTTTACTTTAAAAACTTGTCTTTTCCCTCCCCTCTGAGCACCAGATCCAGAAGAGGCCTGAGGCCCCAATCTTTTCTAGGGATGCTTTACCTCTGACTAGAGTGGCTGGAGAGCCCAAGCCAAGCTTCCATAGTTGGGGTGGGGCTGTGAGCCACACCTCTGGGCCATGTGAATCCCCACGCTCTCTGGACAGTGAGCAAGGCAGGGATAAATCTGAGGACAAATGATGGGAGGCTAGGACAGAGAAGGCAGAGTGGAACAGCTTGGGGAAGAGAGCCTCCCTGGGCAGGTGGCTCCATTTGATTTCCGATTTAAAGGGGAGGCTTAGATGGCCAAGAAGAAAAAGGCTAATAAGAAAAATATTAAACTGCAGTGTGTGTGTCCCCAGGGACTTCCTGTTGCCATGACTGACCTCCCGGAGAGCGCCATTCGTTCCCGAGCATGGCAGCTTTATAGGCACTTGTAGGCCTGCAAAGAACACCAATTTGCTGCTGCAGTTTGTTTTGATAACTGAAACTTTCAATAAATCTATATTAAAATCAAAGGGAAAATTAACTAGGCCCCAGTGAGGGGCACGGAGATAAGGGAGCACATTACCACCCTGGCCTCAGCCACCCCACATCCATCTCTTAGTTCAGATTCAGGTCACCAGAGAGATGAATGGCTCAGGCTCTTGGGGAACAGCCCTGGGGAAAGCAGGGCAGAGAAGGCATGGCCAGGTCTGGCTCCCACTGCTCCTGCAGCGGAGACCGTGGGGGGCAGAGTGTGGGGGGTAACAAGGGGGGGTGGTGGTGGTCATGGTGGGAAGAGGAGTTGGACAGAGGCATGGGGGAGGGGTGAGAATAATAGTAATAACAGCCAATATTTACTGAACTCTTTATGCTGGATGCTATGCTAAGCATGTTTGTATTTAATTCTAATAAGTAGATACTAGTATTATTTCCACTCCAGAGAGGAAGAAACAGAGCCTCAGAAAGGTATGTGGCTTGCCTAAGGTCACAGATGGAGTCAGGACCCCAATCTGAACAGGGTGTCTCTGAGCTCACACTCCTCTTAAGTGCACGATGCTGTCTTACGTAGCTTACGGGGACTGTGAGCGGCAGAAGCAATTTTCCAAGTTCTTAGATAAAATGGTTTTAGACCCAGTCTGGGTTCTCTCAGCTGTGCCAAGTTTGGCGGCTGTCATGCCTGCACTGTCCTTGGGTCCTGGATTCTCTGCCCTTCCACTGCTGGTTAAGGTCCCAGCTTTGCTGGCCATCTTGCTGTTTTCCCTTGTGCTTTCCGAGGGCAGCAGAACCAACTTGGCCCTCTCTTTAATTCCTGCTGTGTTCACTTTAGCTCAGTCACTTAATCCATCAGCCAGGAAGCTGCCCGAGGTTTATCTGTGTCTGTGTACTGTATTCAGTTCATCTGCCTCCAAAGATTCACTTGCCCCAACTGTACCCTCACCCCGGGCCTTGGCCACTTGTTTTTTGGACAGCCCAGCTGCCATTACTGTCATTTCATTTACTAACACATCTGGTTGTTTTAGCGTCCTCAGGAGAGTTTTGACAGAGCCTCCAATGTGCCCACTGTGGTGGGATTGCAATGGGCCTAATTTGACCAAACCAGGGGCTATGACTCCTCTCATCAGTTCTAGTCTCAGATGAACCACTGTGCTTTAGGGTGTGGGATCTGGCACCCCCTGTGGCTACCGGAGTGGTGGGGTAATACAACCTCCCTTTCCCCTTACAAAGTGATGGTTCTACATGGCTTCAATGACTAGTTAGTTGTGTTTGAAGCTCCAGGCAACTTTATAATACACAACCTTATATTTTCTTCCTTTTCTTCTTTGCCTCACTTCTCTTTGCCTCCTCAACTCTTGCCGCCCTGGGATTATATTTTCCAATGAAATTTTACCACATAAGCTTTACCTCAGGCTCTGTTTTCTGGGAAATAAGAAAACAGGGAATCACCACAGAGCCAAAGGCTTGAGGGAGCCAAATGTTGGGTTAAGCAGCAGTGTAAGGCACCGAGAATATACTGATCTCTTAAACTGTTCTATTATTTGAATACATTTGGCCTGGTCTTTATCCAAAAAGAGCTTATATATAATACAGTCTGGTGAGGTCCTGGAAGCTATAGGGGTGAGCTCTAGAGCACGAAGGAGAAAGGGGACATTCTGGGGAAGTTAAGGGCTCTGTGGAAGGCTCCATGGAGGATATTGGTGCTAGGCCTTAAAGGAAGCGTCCAATCCAGACAGTGTAGGTTGACTTCATTCTTACAGCCAAGAAGGTTGGTTGTACCCTATTCTTACACCAGACTCAGGACATATGAAAGCCAGGGACAGGAGAGACCATCTCAGAGCCTCTCATTTGTCTGATTTTTTTTTTTTTAAAGATTTTATTTATTTATTTGACAGAGAGAGACACAGCGAGAGAGGGAACACAAGCAGGGGGAGTGGGAGAGGGAGAAGCAGGCTTCCCGCAGAGCAGGGAGCCTGATGCGGGGCTCAGTCCCAGGACCTGGGGATCATGACCTGAGCCGAAGGCAGACACTTAACGAGTGAGCCACCTAGGTGCCCCTCATTTGTCTAACTTAATTTATCTATTTACTTGTTTGTTTATTGTCTGTTCTGCATCTACCTTCCCCTCCCCAATATAAAGTCTTCTCAAGGATACAGGTTTTGTGTGCCTTATTCACCAATGAATCTTAGCATCAAAAACAGTTGCCGACACCTAGCAGAGGCACTATAAATGTATGTTGACTGACTAATCAACTGGGATTAATGTCTAGACGACATTAACGGGAGGAGGAAGACCCAATTCCAGCCCCAAGAATCAGACAGGAAGATGTGCCTCCACTTTACTGACTTAGGGTTAAGTGACATCTGTCCCTGCTGATGTTTATTTCCTCATTTGTCCACAAACATTTACCAGATTCCTGCTTTATTTGTGGAACTGTGCTGGGCATTACTGATATACCATGAACAATACAGAAATAATGCTTACCTTAAATGAATTTACAGCCCTGGGGGAGAGACAACAAGGAAATAGACAATTATAAAACAATGCAATAAATTCTGTAGGTGCAGAGTAGAATCACCTCGTCCATTATGCGGGATTAAGGAAGACATTCCCTAATATGGGTATTACCGGGCATTCCCAGCTCAGGCAGGAACCAGTATGTTAAGGTCAGATCTCACAGAAATGGTGGGCCCAGAAGTGACATCATTTTCTTATGTGAAAATATGCAAACGGCAGACAGAGGCTTGGTGACCAAAGCTGGGCCCAGAAGATGGTTCCTGGCTCACTGGGAAGCTGTCAAAGCCATCACTGATTTGGCCACGGCCAGGGTTTCCCACCTCAGAACGTGTTACCCATGACTTCCCAAAGAGCCACAAACCAGATGAAGAAACACATCTCTGGCTTTAGCCAGACTTCGCTCCAGATGACAGAATAGACTGCGGTAGCTCCCTATAGTTGAGGCCAGAATCCTTTCAACTCTGACGTTCCCTCTGGAGCCAACCCAAACAAGTCAGTTCCCTCTTCTGTAGGAATGCCCTTCAGAAATCTAAGAATTTTCTTCTTAGCCTAAAATCTGCCTCCTTTCAGCTCTCCCCAGGCCCACCTCCGAGAGTGGATGATAATAATGACTTGTTGAAGAAACAAATCATGAGGAGAAGTTATCTAAATAGAACACGTCATGTTATGAGCCTATACTCACCTCATGAGTATATTGGGAGGTGGGAAAACGGAAGTGGGGGACCTGAGTCGCTCTAGGCCTTAAAAAGTTTTCGTTATTTAAAATATTCCTTTCCCAGGTCGGAAGGGAGGTCCCCCTTCACTTTCTTCTGAGTACGTGCCACCTCAAAACTACAAGTCCCATAAGGCCAGCCGAGGGGAGTCACCATCTTGACACACCTTAGCGCGCATGTCGGCGGGAGAGCGAGCATTTGGGGAGAAGAAGCCCCGCCCCCCTGCAGCCCATTGGTCGGAGAAGCAAGCGGCGGGCTCAGCGGTTGGCCACCGAGCCCGCCCGTCAGTCGCGTCGGCCGGGGTCAGAGTGCGCGGAGGTGAGTCGGTGTGTTGTGGACTCGTGGTGCTGGCTGCCGCTGTTGAGGCGGCCGGGAACGGGCGGTGGGGAGCGGGCGGAGCTGGCCTTGCCTCTGCTTGGCCGGCGCCGCAGTCGGCGCGGGCCGCGCCCGCCGCCGTAAACTGCCCTGAGCGCCTGCTGAGGCCGAGGGAGACGTCGGGGCCTGCACCTGGAGGGAGCCTGCCGCGCTGGCCCCGAGGAGGGGGCGTTGCCATGGCGACAGCCTCTCCCGCCGCTGACGGGGGGCGGGGGCGGCCCTGGGAAGGAGGGCTGGTCTCCTGGCCCCCTGCCCCTCCCCTTACTCTCCCCTGGACTTGGATGGGCCCGAGTTGGGGGCAACACCCTGGGGTGGGTGATGCGGAGAGGCCCCCAGATTGGGCCTTGGTTAATGCATGCGGGGTGAGGGTCGCGGCGCGCAGTTTGTGCAGTCTGGGGTGCTAGCCCATGTGCTCACCCTGGATGCATGATCTACTGAGTAACGTTCTGGCAAAGAGGGAGCGGGCAGGGCTTTGCCAGACGGACTGGGTGGGGTGATAAGGGTGCTGACTTTTTACTTGGGATTATACTAGGTAAGAGGAAGAGAGGTTTGAGCACAGTGGATAGAAACTCAGCAAAGAGGTAGTAGATAGAATAACCCCATTCTTCCCTCTCCAGCACACACACGAGGTTAGCACTTTAACTCTTTGTAAATCTGTAGCAGTGGTAGTAGTGATGGTGGAAGGAGTGAATAACGGGCCTAACCTAGCTAGCTTTCTGTTTGCTTTTCCTGCAAATGTTCCAGCAACAGGTGTTCTCTTAAAACAAAAAAGCATGAACTTGGATTGAGGTGTGACTGCGAGTTCTTGCATAATGTAACTTCTCCTGGTTGACTTGGAAGATGCTGCATGTGGCTCCTTCCTGGGGGCTTGAATTCTGCCCTTAGGGTTGGGTTTTGCAAACTGATAATGCCCATCGTTGTCTCTGCTATAGGTCTCTGGCCACCTCTATGGGATTAGCTCTTACCAGACATTTTATCATACTCCGAGCTGAAGGGCAAAAAACCACGAATCCCATTGGCTGAAGAGTGTACACTATTTGAACTATAGTAGGTTGTGATTGGCTGAATGATTTTTGATTGTAGAGTTTCTACCAGAAATTGGCTTCATCAAATTCTGCTTTATTCTGACTTTATCATACATGGCATGCCTTGTTTTAGTGGGTTCGTTCCTGGAGCTTAAGTATATTATACCTGAATCCCCCACCATTTAAAAGCCAATTTATAAACAGGGACTTGGAGTGTGACTCCACTAATGTGTGTGTCTGTGATCTTGGTTAGAAACCCACTTGGCTGCCTTTCGTCAGAGAGGTAGGGTGTGGGGGAAGGGAGCTGCCGGGAAGTGATTGATAAGGTTTCCTTTATGGATTCTGTGGTGCTTCACTGGAGCTCAGAGCACTTTGGCAACTTAAGCACTCCAAATTAAAAGCTCATTAACAATTCCTGCCCAAAGATCCTGTAAATAATCAGCTAGCTAGGTCCTAGAGCTTGTCTGAGAGCTCTCCTTCCAACTTGAAATTTCCAAATAAAAGTGCCTTTATTCCCTTTCATTTTGAAAAGTGTTTTCTTGGTGGTGGGGTAAGTCTGTGAGTGGTCTTTCCCAGGGGATCTGAGTAGCATAAAGTCTTAAATGTGTAGAGTGGTAGACAGGAATAGATTGGTTCCAAACCTAAGTGTTTCTCTGTGCAAAGGGCATTGCTAGCTTACAAGAGCACCTCTGCAACTTCTAGTCTTTTGGAAAATCTGAATTAGGTGATAAATATGATAGGTGTCCATTAATTATTTGACTTAGGGTTTGGTTACACTTTGACTTTCTTAGGACTTGAGATAGACCTGGAAGTATACTGCAAGTGTTTAATGGTCTATTTGGCCATTTGTAGTATGGCCTGTGGGTTTGTGGCAACCAGCCCCTCCCCCAATCCTGGTCTTAGTTCCTGAGTTCTGAATATTGTCAACCTTACCAGTGTCTCCTTGACTAAACTAGGATTCTAGTGTTATCCCGAGAGACACCATTTCATGACCATCTTTCTTAGTCCAAGCTCAGATATTATAAATGTTTAGTGTTTCTAGGAGATAACCTCCTTAGGAAGAAAAGTATGCTACTAGAGAACATGAAATCCATCATTCCAAAAATATATAGTACTAGTAGCTTCTGAAAGCTCTGTTCAGGCATTGTTCTTCCACATAGATAACTTATCCCAGAGTAGTTTGAGTTTAGGAGTTTGAGGTTTGGTGTGGTCCTTAAATTGTTTCAAATAGCAGCAGTCCGGGATTTGATCCTTTATACTGAAATAGACTTGTTGCAGAGATGTGTATTTATCCACAGCATTGGGGCTTTCCAGCTCTCACAGAACCTTCAGCATCCCCAGCTGGCAGTCTTGGCATCTTCGAAGTAAGGAGAGGTGAGAATCTTGTTGCATGGTCAAGTTTGGCTCGACTTCTTTCTTATGAATATTTGGGTTTGGAGGGTGAGGGGGTGGTGGTTGGTGCAGATTGTATATTTCTGTAGCTTTTTCTGATGAGACACCATGTGCTCAAAGACTACGGAATGGGGAGAATTAGAGGTGGGGTATCTGTACTCTCAAGTTCTGTCGTGATTTCTCTGTGGGCATTGCATGAGCACCTACTTTAGGTTCAGGAAGGTTGAATAGAGCTGGAGTAGTCCTTCATCCTGAGAAATACACAGCTTAAGATAATAGGAAGGAACACATTGGTTTGGCTTTTGATAATGCATTTGACCAAGACCTTTGGGATCTTGGTTTGATTTGGGTTGGGAATCACTGTTGGGTGGATGGTGAATCCCAGCCTGTCTCCATCTTACAAGGATCAGGGCTGCCTGAAAAGGCAGACTCTGATGATTAATATCTAGGATCTCAGAGGCTGTTTAGTAACAAAGGGCCAGATACTTTGCTAGGACTAGAATTGCAGTGGTGAACAAGGCAGGTGTTGTCTCTGATGCCACAGGGCTTACAAATTCAGGGGAGAGAGAGGTAGTAAAGAAGCAGTTCTGATACACTCTGGGAGTGCTAGAAGGTAAGTTTAGGTGTTTTGGGAGTACTCAGAAGGGTCCGCAACCCAGACTTGTAGGCTCCTCATCTAGAATTAAATGAAGACATGAGGGACCAAGTGTGAAGGTCAGAGTTTTGTTGAGTTTGAGAAACTGAAGATCAGTGTGTTAAAACATAGTGTACTCAGTGGGCAGGGGATTGGAGAATATAGTGAGAAGCGAAGCAGGAAAAGTAAGCAGAGGCCAAGGCCTTATAAGCTCTTAGGATTAGGTTAGACTAGGTCTTTTTTCTGTAAAGGATCAGATAGTAACTATTTAGGCTTTGTGGGTCTCTGTCACAACTGTTCAACTCCATTCAACTCTGCTGTTACAGCATGAAGGCAGCCATAGTATGAAAATGAATGAGCATGGCTATGTTCGAGTAAAACTTTATAAAAACCAGTGGCAGCTGGATTTGGCCTGTGGAACATAGTTGCCAACACCTGGACCAGACTATCATAAGAGCAGTAAGAAGCCATTCAATGGTTTTAAGCTGTGGACTGATAATTAGATTTGTGTTTTAGAACATTTGTTTTGATTTCAGTGTTAAGAAGGGACTGAAGGGGACAATACTGGAGGCAGAGACCAGTTAAGGAGCCTGTGACATTTGCATGGGTAGCATTTTATAGTTAACCCTTTGAGGCAGTATTTTGACCCTTAAAAATTGAGCATAACTGAATTATTGCATAATGTATAAACTGGTTATGTTTATTAATTTCCTGGCCATCGACTAGAGCTTAAAGCATGTCTACCAAAGAATTTGTTGGTAATACCAGCTCCTATTTTACATACTAGAAAAGATGTAGGAAGGGAAAGTAGGTGTAGAATGAATGAAAAGGTTTGGGGAACTCTTCTAATCAAAGAAGTAGAGAATAAATGGAGCCCTGGTAGGGATTTTGGCCTTAGGGCTCATAGCTTAATGTCAATTACTTTAAACTTTTTGAACTATACAAACAAAGAAGGACCCATTTTCCTAAGTTTTCCAGGGAATTGTCCTCATTCTGTTACGTGTCCTACTCAGTCAAACTTTCCTTGCTTGTAGCAACCTGATGACCTTTTTTCTGGCTTGGGGACTGTCTCCTGGTTCAGGTATGATGGTATATGCCAGGCACAGGAGCCAAAGTGTTGAGTGTCCAATAAATTGTCTTCCTCCTCCTGCAAGCCTACTTGCATTGCTGGAGGGAAGCCTGTAGGTTTCTGATAACTTACATTATGGTGTTTATGTAACCTCAGGCGAGTGACTTAGCTCTCTGAGCTTTACTTTCCCATCTGTAAAATGCAGATAATGGGACTTAAAGATAAGGGTTGATTAATGGATTTAATGAGATAATGTATGTAAAGCTCTTAGCACAGGGGTTTAATAACTTTTGTTTACTAATAGTATTTTACACAGTTAATAATTTTTTTAAAAAGCAGCCCACAATTGGGTGAGTTGGCCTTTGGCTTAGTATGTTTTGGGTCCTCACAGTTGTCATTATGGCCATATGATAGGAACATAACCACTGGTGGTGAGAGCCAGTAGACAGAAGGAAGTTATAATTAACGGAAGGGGCCACTCTTCATAATGGAAAATTTTCAGACATCAGGAGTCCAGAAAATCAGAACTTTCTTCAGGGTAGACCTTAGCCCCAATACCATCAGTGAAGTGAATTGAGTGAGCAGCTACCCGAAAGAAATTCACCAAAGTGTGACCAGTCATTTCTCCCAGTTGGTCAGGGTCATTTATTGTGTTGCCACCCTTGTGGCCCTACATCTTCGTAAAGTCCTCTTGAATGTTTTTTTATTACTTTTTACCACCACTCTGGGAATGAGTCAGGTGGTCAGTATTACTGTCCCCGCTTACCTCTGTGAGGAAACTGAGGCCCACGAAGGTTAAGTGTGTTGCCTGAGGTCATGCTGTGAGGTACTGTCAGAGCTAGTGCAGATTTGCCTCCAGATGAAATTGTGTTAGTTTATTGCTGTGATTTCTCTTCCTTCGAGTGAGAGATGTGTAGTCATTGCAGAACTGCAGACTGATGCATGCTTTGTCCAAATGTGCTAGGAGTGATTTGGGTCCCACTTTATCCACTTGGTCCTGTTGGGTTTTAATTGATGACTGCTTGGACCAGGGAAGCAGATTCCCTTTGGGTCATTGTTTTTAGCCCCTCCTCCTTTGGGGACATTCTTGGGGGAGCCTTGGGTTACAAGAGATTGCTTTGATATGTTCAAAATTGTGCCTTGTGCCCCACAGCTACAGGTAAAATCAAAAGGCAGATAATTTATGGGAGTGTCAGAGCTGGCCGCTGGCACCTCAGGAGGCCATTAGTATGCCTGTTCAGACCCTCTGTGTCCTTGCAATTGATTCCTCTTTGCATGAGCTTGATTTGGGAAGCTGTAGATCTGTGGGTAGTGATTGGATGTGACAGTCCAAACACCGGTCCCTAAATTAATCCTTTTAATAGTATTCCAGCACCAAGGCAATGTGGTGTTTCTCTCTGTCTTTAACTGGGGAGGACAGAATGGGGTGGGCTAGGAAGGAGAGAGGAAAAAAAAAGAAGCTTTGCTTGGTGCTTAGGGTCTGTTCTGTTCTAACATGTTCTGATTCCAGAGCAGTTGACATCAGGACTTTGGGCATATTCATTCAGCAAACAGTGATTCACACTAACTTTGTACCTGGCCCTGTGCTGGGTGCTAGAAATACAGAAATGAATAAAATGTGGTCCTTGCCCTTAAGGATCTGTGTGAACCTCAGTGTTTCTCAGAGTTTTTAAATTCATGCGCTATTTAGGTGAAAAAATTAAACTGATGCTTTTCTTTAGTGCTACTTGAAATTTTAAAATGCATTAAAGGGTCTGACAAAAAACAAGTCAAAGAAATTATGCCTTTTTTACACGCACACGCACACATACTTATACCTGCTATCTTACAGCCTTCTCACCTAAGGCTCTGAAAATTATAGTAGGAAAAATAGATTAAAATTTTACAATATAGTGAGACAAAAAGTTATGAAATAGGAATAGAGTGTGTTACTGGATCACACTTAAGCAATTAACTTTCTGATGGAGTATCAGAGAAAGCTACTAAAAGGGAATTTTGAGGTGCATTTTGAAGAAGGAGCTGGTGAAAATGGAAATAACATTCCAAAGCAGGGGGAGTAGCATTTGCCAAGGCACAGATTTGTAAAAGGAAACATCCCATTTGGGGACCTGAGCAAGAGCTAGTCGTCACCCTGCCTCCTGCCAGTTTCTCTGCTCCTGTGGAATTGTGTTTGCGAAGAGGCTTTGAGTTTCTTGTGCTGCAGTTGTTTTCGTCCAAGGCACCCCTTCCTTCTTCTGCTTTTTGGTACCCAGGACTGCAATTTGTTTTTCTTGTTAAAATGTGTTAAATGTATTATGAGAACAAATTTGAATGATTTGGACAGACTTGATCATTGCTTATGGTTGAGTTACTTTCAGTAAAAGGCGAAAGATTTATGCGTTTTGAAGAGAAACCGGAATATGGTTGAGTTACTTTTAAAGTCACCACCTTACCTCAAAGGAAAAACTGAAGTTGATATGTATTTTTAGCCCTTTGGTGGATAGGGGACTCAATCAAGTGGGGAATGTGGGCCCTCAAACATGGGAGAGGAGAACAGGGCCCCGAAGAACTGAGGACATCTGAGGCTTAGTTTTCTCATGTGTAAAATGGGATTATTGTTCCCCATTTTGCTTGAGAGTTAGGGGGATAAAATATGTGGATCACTAATACAGTACCTGGCTTATAATTGTGTTTCCCTCTCCTCTTTCTCATGCATTAACAACAGTAGCTCCCTTCTATTGAGTGCTTAAACTGTACAAAGTGCTTTATATACATTGTGTGGTTGACCTGAACCCCAAAGAGATAGGTATTATTATTATTAGTTGTTATTATTGAGAAAATGTGGTGGAAGGGCTGGCTCAGTCGGTAGAGTATGCAACTCTTAATCTTGGGGTCATGAGTTCAAGCCCCATATTGGGTGTGGAGCCTACTTAAAAAAAAAAAAAAGAATGTGTGGTAGAGTCAGGATTTGAACCTAGACTTGTCTGATTCTAGTGTTTAAACATGTGGGCTGTGCTTCTATACCAGTTCCATCTTGGAAGCAGGGGAATGGCAGGTTCTTGGTATCTCTCCTCTGGGGTCAGATGCTGTCTACAAGTGTGAGAGGTACTTAAAGGGATCAGAGTACCATACTCTGCCCCTCCTTCATTTCTATCCTATTTATGGTGTGTTAGAAACAAACTTTTGCCCCCTCTCACGTGCGATGGGTGTCACAACTGACTTCTAGGACTTTGCAAAGAGATGTCTCCCAGCTTTGGCCCCTCGAAGGAATTTGCCCAAACTACTGCATGTAGTGGTAAG